AAAAAAAAAAGCAGGTACTGATGTCAGGTGATGAATGGCAGGCAGATAGGCAGGCCAGTCACATGTTTGCTGCCATGGTGATAGGGTCTGCCTGTGTCATGAAGGTCAGAAGGGTTTCTGGGCTTCTACTGGGCTCAGGGGATCCTTCCACTTCAGCCTTCCAAGTAGCTGGAACTACAGGCGTGTGCTACCACGCCTGGCTTTTTTTTTTTAATTGTAGAGACGAGGTCTTGCCAAGTTGTGCAGGCTGGTCTCGAACCCACGGACTCAGGCAGTCCACTCACCTCGGCCTCCCAAAGTGCTGGGATTATAGGCTGAGCCACTGAGCCCGGCCTCTTTTTTTTTTTTTTAATTTGAAAGATGTGGGGTACAATTCAGGATTAGGTATACAAGTGGTCATTGTACAGGTAAAGTTTGGGGCTCGCTTTACTCCCCACTTCACCTTGTTTGAGTTCAGGTGTCCTTCCCCCCAGCAGTATTCAGCTACTGCCAATCTCTCTTATAGTATTATGGTAAATGTTCAGGGTTCGATTATGAGTGATAAATACGCACTTTCTACAAATCATTTGCTTCCTAGAATCTTGAAATCTTTCTGTATGGTGTTGAAACAACACAGACAAAGCCTATTTTTTTCCAAAGTCCTTCTGTAATAATTTAGCAGCCTCAGGACTTTCTCATTTCAACAGCTCTCCTGTTATTCAGTGTATATCCTCCCCCAAGCTTCTGTTCTTAAGGGAGTACTTATTATTAAATACTCCTCTATGTAAAAATGCATAATCATGTGATTTCCTTAGGAGTCATAGAGCTGGTAAGTAATCATTTAAGCCAAAATTTCTAACCTGAGCCAATAGATAGGAATACCCACATGTAGACAAAAATCAGGAGGGATCAGCTGATGAGGAGTGTGGAGGAAAGCTCATGAAAGTCTGGCCACCTTGAGATGGAAACTTCATACTCTTTTGGGTAGCAAAAAGAAGACATTAGATTCAAGACCACTCCTGGTAATGTCTGGAAGATAGAGGCAAGTCTCTGTTCCAGCCCGACCACGTGGCCACAGAAAAGCAGTCGAGAAATGAGTTTAAAGCAATCAAGGTGAAACTCAAATGCACAGCTGAAAGTATTAGCAGATGTAGACTGTAGCTTATTTAGACAAGAAGAAAACGTAGTTTGGAGAGTAGAATTTTACAGAAATTTAAAAAATCTTAGCAAAACATTTACCACTGCAGCAGCCCTAAGCTAATGGGGTTTTTGTTTTTTTGTGATTCAGAAAGAAAAAACCCTTCTCCTCTAATGTGCTTAGGAGCAGGATTAAACACAGACCTTCAGACTGTGGTTGCAAAGTTGAAGAACAACACAGCCTGAAGTCTCAAGAGTGACCATTTCCGGGCTAGATTTGGGCTAGGAACTGGACTGCAGAGTGGGCCTAACCCACCCAAATGGAGAAGCTGACCAGCCAAAATGGGTGTCTTATAGGTATTGAATAGCTAGAACCCAGCTAACTCAGACAACTCAGAACAACTCAGAAATTTAGAATCTGGACAACTCAGAAACATGCTCCTTATAAATTCTTCCTTGTAAAGACTTTGTGTACCTTCTTTCCTTTGGTTTCTTTATATAGTTATTTTTAAAGTTTCAGTCAAGCTGTGAGGGAGAGGCAGGGATTGAAAGAAGGCTACCCATCCGCTGAGCTCAGTCTCTCATCTGGAATGTTTCATTTACATATCTAAATCTGAACAGCCATCTACAGCTATTACCATCCTAATGCAGGTACAGCTTCTGAATTGTGTTAAACCTAAAATGTTGTTATCTTATGTGATATTTTCCTGATTAATCTCTCTTTAAAATATTCCTCCATTCTATCTTAATTTGGCCTGTAGAGGCTATAGTTTACCTCTGATCCTTGTTATTTTTCAGGGCTAGTAGTAGAATGCCAACAAGAACGATCACAGATAAAAAATAAAGAAATAGCTTTGCGTGTGTTGAGAGCTAGACTCTATCAGCAAATTATTGAGAAAGACAAGTGTCAGCAACAAAGTGCCAGGAGACTGCAGGTAAGATTTACTTAGTATAATAATTTAATAACTCTGTAAAAAAAGGTCACCATTGTATGTAGAAAATGCAGTGTTTGTTCTTGCTTGCATGGAAATGTCTTATAGCATAGGGAAATGTGCTCATTTGTAAATAAGCAGTAACTCAAATATATATGGACTGATGGATTATGGTTATGTCAGTTTGAAAATGAGTAAATTAAAAATGCATAAATTAAAAGTTATTTCCCAGTTGTTTCCCTTCAGTGTTTACATCATTACTATCTTAAGAGGAAATTGGTTTAAAAGACAAAATATTCAGGTTGCATAGTAGTCCATGAAAAGAATTTTTTAAAAAATTTGAGTTGGAGTCTTACTCTGTCACCCAGGCTGGAGTGCATTGGCACACTCACGGCCACCCCAGTGTCGACCCACTGGACTCCAGCGATCCTTTGGCCTCAGCCTTCAAGTAGCCAGAACTACAGGCGTACGCTTCCACGCCCAGCTTATTTATTTATTTATTTATTTATTTATTTATTTATTTATTTATTTATTATAGAGACAAGGTCTCACCAAGTTGCTCAGACTGGTTTTGAACCCACGGGCTCAGGCAATCCACTGGCCTCAGCCTCCCAAAGTGCTGGGATTACCAGCTAAGCCACCGAGCCTGGCCAAGAAAATTTTTTAAAAGGCAACATCATTATTTGGAAATTAAGAGAGTTTTAGATTTTTAAAATTTATATACCTATGTTTTCATTATGACTAAGTGGAATCAAATATATATGGCACTGCAAAAAAACAGGAACAGTGATTACTACTGATAGAGTCTGAGGACAAAGGGTAGAAGGGAAACATTTCTTCATTATATACCGTTTGGTACTTTTTGAATTTTGTTCAGTATACATGTATAGTGCTATTTATTCAAATGGATGGATCAGTAAATTCAGAGTGAAATGACTAAATGTCATTATATAATTTAAAACTCTAAAAAAATAAAGTTTGTCTTTGAGAGAGAATAGAAGAGAGAGTGGAACTCAGAAATAACTGTGCTTTTGTGTTATTTCCAGTTAGGTGTGAACAGTAAATTTAATTTGGAAGATTTTGTGACCTTTTAGTATAATGAATGGCGTAAACCTAAATATTAATTATTCTCTTCATCTAGATGTGTCCTAGCCTTCTTTGCCCACATATATTTTTTTTTTTTTTTTTGAGTTGGAGTCTCACTCTGTCGTCCAGACTGGAGTGCAGTGGCCGCTCCCAGGCTCCAGTGATCCTTCCGCCTCAGCCTTCCAAGTAGCTGGAACTACAGGAGCTCACTACCACACCCAGCTAATTTTTGATTTATTGTAGAGATGAGGTCTTACCAAGTTGCCCAGGTGGGTCTTGAACCCGCGGGCTTAGGCAATCCACTCACCTCAGCCTCCCAAAGTGCTGGGATTACAGGCTGAGCCACCGAGCCCGGCCTTTTGCCCACATATTAATTTGCAGGTAGTAAAAGTGACAGGATAAATAATATATTAACATTCTTTTGTAGTAATCCCAGATTGTGGAGCAGCATCAATGTATACATTTGCAGATAGGATGCTCATTTACATATTATTGTTACTGTTTTTTTAATCAAGCAAAAAATGTACCTTGAGTACACACCATTACTTTTCTTGGCAAGAAGTGATAACATAAGTACTGTGAACTCTGCCATATTTGAATTAATAAGAGACATTTGGAACCGGTCATGGTGGCTCATGCCTGAAATCCCAGCACTTATGGAGGCTGAGGCAAGGGGATTGTTTGAATCCAGGAGTTCAAGACCAGCCTGGGCCATATAGCAAGACTTCATCTCTACAAAAAATTAAAAAATAAAAAATTAGCTGGTCATGGTGGCACAGCTATAGTCCCAGCTACTCAGGAGGCCAAAGTGGAAGGATCACCTGACCCCAGGAGGTCAAGGCTGCAGTGAGCTGTGATTGTGCCACCGCACTCCAGCCTGGGTGACAGAGGGAGACCCCGACTCTAAAAAAAAAAAGAGAGAGATTTGGATTTACTTGCTATTGAACATTTTGGCATCAGAGGTTTCACATAGCAATTTTTAAAACAAGTATTCAAGATTGGCTTTATGCAAATTTTATATGTGTATCTTCTTAAGTAGTCTGATTTGAGGAGCCAGGAAAGACCTCTCTGCCTCTTTAATAACTTATCCACCTGTTTGAAATGTTTTAGTAGGGATTTCTAAGTCTTAGAAGTTTTTCTTCAACCAATATATACAATGAGTTTTATACAGTTTTATACACTGGCTCCACCAATCACGTAAAGGTCTTTGTAGTTGCCCAGGCCCCACTCCCAGAGATTCTGATGAAATTGACCTGGAGTGAAATCCTGGCCATTAATATGATGCTTTGGGATACTAGTTTCCAAAGCTGACTGATTGTCAGGGGAATGTTTTCAAAATATAGAATCCCCGATTCACTATATCTGAGGTTGAATTTAGGAACTTATAATTTTTAAAAATTATCCTGATAATCAGGAATTTAGTTTCTTTTTACTTGCCTTGGGGTTTACAAAGATTATAATAGGCCAGGCATGGTAGCTCACACCTATAATTCCAGCACTTTGAAAGACTGAGGTGGGAGGATCACTTAAGGCTGGGAGTTTGAGACCAGTCTGGGCAACGTAGTGAGACAACATCTCTGCAAAAAGTAAAGATGAAAAATAGTTTTTAAAAATTATTTATAAACCGGGCTCTGTGGCTCAGCCTGTAATCCCGCACCTTTGGGAGGCTGAGGTGAGTGGATTGCCTGAGCCCGCGGGTTCGAGACCCGCCTGGGCAGCAAGACCTCATCTCTACAATAAATCAAAAAATCAGCTGGGCGTGGTAGCGCGTGCCTGTAATTCCGGCTACTCGGAAGGCTGAGGCAGAAGGATCACCGGAGCCCAGCAGGCGAGGCTGTGGTGGCCGGGAGCGGCCACTGCACTCCAGTCTGGGCGACAGAGTGAGACTCCAACTCAAAAAAAAAAAAGAAGTGGAATGGGCACAGTGGCTAATGCCTGTCATCCCATCACTTTGGTGAGAGGTTTGCTTTTTTGCTCAGGAATTTCAGACTAGCCTGGGCAACATAGCAAGACCTCATCTCTACATAAAAATTATCTGGGCATGGTGGCGCATGCCAGTAGTCGCAGCTACTCAGGAGGCTGAGGCAGAAGGATTGCCTTAGCCCAGGAGGTTGAGGCTATGGTGAGCCATGATTGTGCCACTGCACTCCAGCCTGGGAGATCTCGCCTCAAAAAAAAAAAAAAATGCAGACCAGGCACGGTGACTCATGCCTTTAATCCCAGCACTTTGGGAGGCTGAGGTAGAAGATCACTTGAGCCCAGGAGTTCAAGCCCAGCCTTGGCAACATAGCAAGACCCTGTCTCTAAAAAAAATTAGCCAGGCATGGGGGCACACGCATGTAGTCCCAGCTACTCAGGAGGCTCAGGTGGAAGGATTGCCTGAGTCCCAGAGGTCAGGGCTTCAGTGAGCCGTGATTGTGCCACTGCACTTCTGCATGGGCTACAGAGTGAGAGAGACCCTGACTCAAAAAAAAAAAAGAAAAGAAAAGCAATTGAGAGAGGGTGCTGTGTATATCTTGTGTTGGGGAGGTAGGGAAGATGAGCACTCCAAGAAGCATGCAAATAACTGTAGCATGAGATGAACTGAGGTGTACCATGAAGATTCCAAGTGCAAAGGGTTTCAGAGGAAGAAGAGAACATCTTTTAAAGGCAGAGATGGTAGGAGAGTATTAGGAAAGGCTGTCCCTTGAGATGATGTTTTAATGGAGTTAACAGACACACACATGCAATAAGTGACATTTCAGAGGTTCACATAATTTTCAGAAATAGCATTGGGAAGGTTGGTCACATTATGAAGTGCCCTGGATGCTGAGTTGTATCTGTTTAGCAGACAAGAAGGAGCCCAGAATAGACTAAGCAGGGCCGCACAATATAAGCAGTAAAATGGAAGATTAATCAGGAGATTTTTGCAGAAATGTAGATGAAAGTAATAAGTCCTTGAATGATATTAAAAATGAAAAGAGCAGGATATAATAAGACCCTTGAAACCAATTTGAAATGGGCAGTAAGAGAATGGAATGAATTGAAGACCATCTCTCTCCAGTGTGTGTCCATGCCAATGCCTGATATAGTAAGCTCCCACAAAACGTTTGTTAAATTGTAGAATGTCAAAGTTTTCTACTTGACTAAAAGAGAACACATGGTGGTGTCCTTTAGAGAAACCAGGAGAAAGAACTGATTGGGTCAGAACAATGACTAAACGGATTTTAAATATTTGGAGTTTGAAGTATCAAAGAGACATTCATTTTTATTCTATAACTAAGCTCTACAAACCTGCAGTCTTAAACATTGTTTTACCCATTCTTGTTCCTTGTCACTTTGTATATGTGACTTTTAGAAAATATTTAAACAGTTAAAATAGAATAGTCATTTACCAGTGCTTTTTCCACTGTAATGAAGTATTTATAAAGTTAAAATATGAATTGCACTTTGTCATGGCACAGGTGGGAACAAGAGCCCAGTCAGAGAGAATTCGAACATACAATTTCACCCAGGATAGAGTCACTGACCACAGGATAGCTTATGAAGCTCGTGGTATTAAGGTAATATTACTGAGTATATTTTGTGTACTTTTGATTATGTCAAATCCTAAAGAGTTCTATCTAAAATATTAACAAGTGATTAAAACTCATTAAGCCACTTTATGTTAGTACCCTAAAATTTGGAAACATTTCTATTAGTTTGCTGGTAAGAAATATAATCTTTATGGCAGTTTGAAAGTTATATTTTTAAATTACAAATTCTTTGCTATGTAATCATAATGTATTAACATATTTAGCGTACATATATGGATGTGTGTTCATTTTCTGTTGCTGGATAAGCACAAATTTAGCAACTTAAAAAAGTTGGCATTTATTACCTCATGATTTCTGTAGGTCAGAAATCGGGGTACAACAGTGCTCAGTTGTCAACCCAGGGTCCCACAAGGTTGAAATCAGTGCATGACCAGGATGCATACTTTTCTGGAACCTCAGGGTCCTCTTCCAAGCTCACATGGTTGTCAGCAGAATCCCACTGCCTCTAGTGGTAGGAGTGAAACCCCTCTCGAGCCCTTGCAGGCAAGCAACTGGAAACTGCTCTCAGCTCCTGAGAATTGCTGGTGAAATATCAGAAAAATCAAGAATGGTTTATAATAGCTTGCTTAATATAAAACTAATTTGCTTAATGCTTGATAAAAGTAATAATAATCTGTAATAACTCGCTTAACATAAGTAACTCCATCTTGTTAAAGTCTTCCATCTTAACTGCCCACTTGACCTAGAAATAAACCCCCATTGTGTACATGTAATTGCTGTAACATTCCCATGATCACGGACTCACAGCTGCGTTCTCTTGAGCTGATCACATTGACCGTTCCTGTTGACCGTTTGCAACACTCCCTAGCCACAAGTTCCATGTAATTGTATGCTTTGTTAACTGAAAGCCAAGAAATTGTTCCCTTCGTTTTTAGTTCCTTATACCCTCACCCCCTACTACGTAGCCCACTGGCGGTTTTTGCCTTTATAAGCTTCTTGCTAGTTTAGTTCAGGCATTAAGAGTTTTTCTGGCACAAGCCTGCTCTTGACCCACGCATTAATAAAGGACTTATAATTAATTAGATTCAGCTTGGTGGCGTGTCTCTTTCTCGCAATTCAATCATAATACTGAAAGTTGCTTCCCAAGTGACTCTCTGTAGACACTTCCTCCCACTTTGAATCTCTTCTTGCAGGAAGGGCTCAGGCCCTCTTATGGGCTCACGTGATTAGCTCAGCACACCTGGATAAAGTTCCCTTGATTAACTCCAAGTCAACTGATAGTCACTAGGGTGATAGTCATATTCACAGGTTCTGTCTGCACTTAAGGGAGGGTAGTATACAAGGTGTATACTCCAGGGGGCACCTGAGAATTCTTCCTACCACAATGTGTATTCTAGATTCAGGTGTTAAATTATGCTGTTGGGAAAAAAGACTCACTCATGATTGTTTGAACAATTTTGTCAGGTAGGATAACCCTTACCTGTTCCTCCTTTTGGAGGGCAGATTAGAACATGATGATTGGAGTTTGCACGAGTGTTTAACAACGCTGCATAATCAGGACTTGTAACACCCTGATTGGTCCTATCTGATTCTTCTTGAAAAAATAGAAATAAATAAAATGAATAGGTTGTTTGAACATTTACCTACATAAATCCCATCTGGCCAGGACCACTGACATTAATGCACTAATGATGAAGTGCAGGAAAATTTCACTTTTGTTGCCACTGAAGGAAAAAGTGGGCTGGTTCCCATAAAGGACTATATGCAAAAGGCAGGAGACAAAAAGTTTTGATCCTTTTCCTTGGTGTTGTGTGATACCTAAGCCTTCTTTTACTCGACTGTGTCTCATTCTGTACTCAAAATGAAAGTCTTGCTTTTATAAGGGAAATGTCTGTGTTTTTAATACATTTATAAATCTCTGTATCTCTTATGCCACTTCCTCTGTCTCCCTAGCAGGATACGGTAATCTTGCATAGGAACGTACAAGCCATGTCAAAAAGGAGAAAATATTTACTAATTTCCTTTTTCTCAGGAAACGTACAGTATGAACAAAACATGTTTGGCCATAGTGTTCTAATTACGCCATATTCTTTCCGTTGTTTTTCTGGTAACAGTGATGATTTTTTAATGAAATAGCTATATTCTTATGACCAATAACATCTTATATATGGGCACATAGGTGTGCCATACAGTATTCTGTTGTATAGTGTGTCTGACTTTGGCCTAAATACTAATATATGACTAACTAAACTACCACGCCAGACTCAGAAATAATAAGGAAAATTATGTTGGTATGCTCTTATAATCACTGACCAGACTATTGAAAAGAAAGAAAACACTCCATAGTAGTAAAGGGAAGATATTTGAAAAATAGCATAAACATATGTAGTTGTAGTAAAACATTAAAAATCTGTTTGAAGTACAGTAAAGAGACTAGTAGGAGTGAATAATTTAGGAATGGAATCATTACAGATGAGGCTGAAAAGGAGATAAGGACCCTAGTCCCAAGGCAACAGCTGTCAGACAAAATGGAAGGGGTAGACGTACAAGAGAGTGAACACCAGTGGGACTTTTTGTTCTTCTGTCACATTCTGGAACTTGCCCTTCTTCCTACTTCATCTGCATAGTTTCTGCTGGAGCTGCTGTTTTGACATAATCGCGATCCCAAGAGAAAAATTGATTTATTTGGAGTGAACATCTAAACAAGCCCCAGCCAATGAGTTCCTTGCCAGGATTTTTCAATTAGAGATGAAGAGGATCATTCTCTCTCAGTGGCTAGAGCTGAAATATGGAAAGCTTGTAAGAGGTTAGAAGCCATATTTTTAGCCACGAAGAGAAAGCAGTCTTTATTGAGAGAGGAATGAAGCTGATACATACACTGAGAAAAGCAGAACTGAGAAATGGGACAGAAAGAATCCTGATGATGCGAATCCCCACATCTGTTTATTCCTGTGGCTCAGTCTCATCCCCAGGATGGTAGTGGAAACCCTGTCCTTTACTATCCTTTGGGTCTGTGAGATCACCTGCTATTACTATGATTCCCTCTGTAGGTAACTTACTAACTTGTTGTTTATCTAGCTAGTAAGCACAGACTGCCATGTAATGTATTATTTCACATTTTTATTCTGTTTTTCAGTGTCCTTGTTCAGGTTTCTTAGCATCAGCCTTATCTCCTGCTCTGTGTTCCATTTACGCTGGAAATTTCCCCTGCCTTGGGCTTTAAATATACTTTGTTTCCCTTTCTCTCTTTTTTTCTTCTTTTGAATTAGTCTTACTCTGTCACCCAGACTAGAGTACAGTGGCATGCTCACAGCCTCCACAGCCTCAACCAGCTACTCATTCATCTTTGACCTTTGTATCTCTAGCACTCTGGTTAATCCAGCTGAACTCTCAATGTGTTATGATTGTCAGTAAGAGGCATAATGGTTTTCATATTAACTCCAAAAATGAAATCACCTTGGCAGTACCATATGGCAGTACCATAATAATCTGAACTCCAAGTACATTGACTTTATAGCAATTGCAGATTATGCTTAAAATGATTAAAATCTTCATTTAATTTTTTTTTTTTGAGCTGGAGTCTCACTCTGTTGCCCAGACTGGAGTGCGGTGGCCGCTCCCAGCCACCGCAGCCTCGACCTGCGGGGCTCCGGCGATCCTTCTGCCTCAGCCTTCCGCGTAGCTGGAACTACAGGCAAGCGCTACCATGCCCGGCTGATTTTTGATTTATTGTAGAGATGAGGTCTCGCCAAGTTACCCAAGCAGGTCTCGAACCCGCGGGCTCAGGCAATCCACTCACCTCAGCCTCCCAAAGGCGCAGGATTACAGGCTGAGCCACCGAGCCCAGCTACAAATCTTCATTTTAAAATTACATCGTAGTGCTTTTGCCTTCCTTTTTTGCTTGACTTAGGTTTTACTGTATGATGGTGCTTTGGGGACTACAGAGGTATGAAGACATAACCTTTTCCTTTCAGTTCGATTTGAGACATACATGTGTACACTCACCTAAAGTTCAACTTTAAGACCACTCAGAAAAGACTCAGTATAAGATTAGTTCATATGTCTATCAAAACTTTAAATGTTCTGAGTTCCAGATGCCAACATTAAAGTATTTCCATTAAGTCAGCGTCTAAATTTCAAGCATCTCTAAAACATGGATATGTGCATAATCACTAATTCAACAACTTTACTATACAGAATTTTTATTACATAGGAAAAGTGCTTGAAATCATTATTTTAGTCATTTTTTAGAGAACTGTAGTGAAGACTACAAGGAAGCCTAACTGAAACAGTTTTAAGCCAATGGGATTATTTAGTGGTAAACATGAGATAATTTTTTTTTCTCAATTTATTATTTTGAAAATTTTCAATCATACATAATGTTTAAAAATTAGCTCAGCCGGGCTCGGTGGCTCAGCCTGTAATCCTGCGCCTTTGGGAGGCTGAGGTGAGTGGATTGCCTGAGCCCGCGGGTTCGAGACCCACCTGGGCAACTTGGCGAGACCTCATCTCTACAATAAATCAAAAATTAGCCAGGTGTGGTAGCACGCGCCTGTAGTTCCAGCCACTCGGAAGGCTGAGGCGGAAGGATCACCAGAGCCCAGCAGGTCGAGGTTGTGGTGGCCAGGAGCGGCCACTGCACTCCAGTCTGGGTGACAGAGTGAGACTCCACCTCAAAAAAAAAAGCTCAAAGAACACTGCACAGCCTATACCTGAATTTAACAATTGTCAACTTTGTGCTGTAATTTGCCTTCTCTTTCTTTTCTACCGCCTCTTTTTCTCTGTGTATATCTATGTTGCTATTGTATCATTTGAAAGCAAGTTTTAGACCTCGACACTTTGCTCCTAAATATTTAAACAAAAATATTTTTCGATTACACAGGACTTCTAGATTTTCAAACTATCGTGGTTTTTTTTTTGTTTCTTTTGTTTTGTTTTTATTCGGGATCTCACTCTGTTGCTCAGGCTGAAGTGCAGTGGCACGATCACAGCTCACTGCAGCCTTGACCTCCTGGGCTCAGGCGATTCTCTGTCTCACCCTCCTGAGTACCTAATAAGGGCTACAGGTGCACACCACTATGCCCGGCTAATTTTTGTTTTTGTAGAGACAAGGTCTTGTTATGTTGCCCAGGCTGGTCTTGAACTCCTCCTGGGTTGGCACCCTTCCAACTCAGCTTCCCAAAGTGCTGGAATTATAGGCATGCAGTCCTGTGTTTCTAAGTTAAGTCAAAAACTACCACAAAGCACTTACAGATTAAATAATCTAAATTTGGAGGGTTCACATGAGAATCGTGAGCTAGAGTGACTTGGGGAGGCTTCCCCTGAGCCAGATCCAGAAGGTTTGGCAAGGAGCAGTGTGTCCATTAATGTGACGACAAAATACTTGAGGAATTGAAACCTTTCAGTCTTTCTCTTCTTTGGGAAATAATGTGATATGAATGAAAGGATAGAATTTTCAGGACAAGAATTAAAACCTCTCTTTTTTTAGAGTACAAGAAGAGAAAGAATTCAGCAAACATTCTCCTAAAGATGGTTTGAGAACCTAAAATGGTGTTGTCATAAAAGCCAAGCAGTGGAATTCTAAAGCAAGGGAGTGGTCGGTGTCAAAAGTCTATTTAGAGCTTGTCATTTTGTTGTCTCCAGAGTTGTTGGGAAGATCCAAATCTCAGAAGATTAATTTTAAAACAAAATGTAACTTAAACATTTTAAGAAAGAGTAGTATTCCATTTGTTCTTTTGGATTCATTTTTTTACATAAAAAGCCACCACAAACAGGATCCTCCCAGGTTAGCAATTGTGTTTATTATATTATAGACCATCAGTAATCCTTTCTTGCTATTAAATAATGACTATAAAGAAAAGTAATAAATATACACTTAACTCTTTGTTTTATTGCTTTTTTATTTCTAATAATCAGGTTTCATAGTAACTCTCTCTTTTACCAGGAATTTTTATGTGGAGAGAAGCGCCTGGATCAGCTAATTGAGAGACTGCTTCAATCGGCAGATGAAGAAGCCATTGTTGAACTTTTGGATGAAAACTTTAAATCAGCAAAATAAATACTTATTTATTATTTAATGTTATGTAAATGAAATGAACCTATATCCAGAAACAGACTGAGGCCTGGAAATCTTTATGAATGTTTATAAAGTATAGCTCTAAGTATACAATACTTACAAATATATTTTTTAATAAATCAAAGTCACATTTCCTGACCTATTTTAGGTTTCCTGTAAAATACAATCCATCTCATCAAGTAGAAAACAAGCATGCCACATTGAAAATAAAATAAAAATAAAGTAGTAGAATTGTGTGATTTAGAACAGGTCACTTGTTCTCTTTATGCCCTTTAAAAAATATGTTTTAATTTATTTAAACATATTTTTCATCTACTACTTCAGGAAAATGTGGTAAGATTTAGTGATATATTATTTATTTTTATTAAAGTTGGGCTCTCACTTTGTCGCCCAAACGAGAGTGCAGTGGCATGATCATGTACCTGGGCTTAGGCAATCCTGCCTCAGTCTCCCGGACTACAGGCATGCACCACCATGCCTGGATAATTTTTAAATTTCTGTAGAGACAGGGTCTTGCTGTATTGTCCAGGCTGGTTTTGAACTTTTGGGCTCAAGCAGTCCTTCTGCCTTGGCCTCTCAAAATGCTGGGATTACAGGCGAGAGCCACCACACCTGGCCTGATACATGATTTATACACTTAGTTGTAAACCCCTAATTTAAAGACAAAGTACTGTTAATTATGTCAAAGTTAGGACTGAGATTGCAACTTCTGAATAAATAAAACTTTTAAGAATATGAGCTACTCAGTAACGGTGAGCATCTAGTATACAGACTGTCAAGTTCTTTGCTGAATAAATTCTATATGAACTACAAGCCAATACTTAAAGTAGACCCTCTACTTCTATTTCTTGTCTTTTTCTTTTTTCACTCCTGGCAAGCTGTGATTGACTTCTTTATTTTTGAGTTGGAGTCTCACTCTGTTGCCCAGGCTAGAGTGCATTGACATGCTCACGGCCACCACAGCTTCGACCTGCTGTGCTCAGGTGATCCTTCTGCCTTAGTCTTCCAAGTAGCTGGAACTATAGACACGCACCACCACGCCCAACTAATTTTTTGATTTAGTAGAGATGAGGTCTCGCCAAGTTGCCCAGGCTGGTCTTGAGCCTGCAGGCTCAGGCAATCCTCTCACCTCGGCCTCCCAAAGTGCTGGGATTATAGGCATGAGCCACCGCTCCCGGCCGACTTCTATTTCATATTCTTCATTGACTTAACTTAATGAATATCAAGAGATGTTTAATATGAATAACTTGCCTTGCTAAGTTATAGTGTGACCATGTGCTCTTTGAGTTATGCCCAGACCATGTTTTCTTAAGCTTTGACCCCCTCCCCTGTCTTGGGGAGGTGAATCTCCTCTTTCTCTCTCTCTAATTTACTTTCTAAATAGACTATATTTTTTAATCTAAAATATATATATATGGGCCGGATGCGATGGCTCAGCCTATAATCCCAGTACTTTGGGAGGCCAAGGCAAGAGGATTGTTTGAGCACAGAGGATCGAGACCAGCCTGGGCAACATGGTGAGACCTCGTCTCTACACTGAAATCACAAAAACTAGCTGGGTGTAGTGGTGCGCGTCTGTAGTTCCAGCTATTTGGAAGGCTGAGGCATAAGTATCACCTGAGCCCAGCAGGTTGAGGCTGTGCACTCCAGCCTGGGCAACAGAGTGAGACTCCAACTCAAAAAAAAAAAAAAAAAAAGTATATGTATGTGTGTGTGTGTGTGTGTGTGTGTGTGTGTGTGTGTGTGTGTATGTGTGTGTGTGTGTGTGTGTATGTAATTCACTGCCATCAGTTTTGTGCAATGATATATAAAATCCAGTCCTTAAAGAGCTTCCAGTCTAGTGAAGAATTTAAACATGTAAATCACCAACTAACGCAAAGTGGCATGATGTATTTAGTAATTGCTCTATAGAAATTTATTGAGTATAAAAGAGAGGAATTCTTATTTTAAACATTTCTGAAAGGAACTTATATGCCAGGAAAGACTAGCTACAGTTTTAAGACCAGTGGAATTATTTGGAGGTAAAGATGAGAGGGAAATGTTTTCCCAAACTTTATTCTGAAAATATTCAAGCATACAGAAAAGTTTTAAAAATGATTTTTAAGAAGTAGTTCAAGGAACATTGTATACTCTACATTCAACTATTGTTAACATTTTGTCAGATTTAGTTTTCTTTCTCTCACAATACACACACACACACTTCTGCAATTAAATAGTTGCAGACCTCATGACTCCTCTAAAATATTACAGCATGCATCTCCTAAGAATAAGGACATTCTCCTACAAAATCAATTCCATTATCACATCCAGTAATTATATGATCTAATGGCTATTACATATTAAAATCCCTTCCTTTATCTGCAATATGGCTTTCTCAGCTGTTTTGGGGGGGTTGTTTGTTTCGTTTTGTCAGAATCTCACTCTGTCACCCATGCTGGAGTGCAGTGGCATGCTCACGGCCACTGCAACCTTGACCTGTTGGGCTAGGGCAATCCTTCCACCTCAGTCATCCCAGTAGCTGGAACTACCAGCACGTGCCACCAGGCCCAGCAAATTTTTGTTGTTGTTGTTGATATTTTGGTAGAAACGAGGTCCTTCCATGTTGCCCAGGCTAGTCTCCAACCCCTGGGCTCAGGTAATCCTCTCGCCTCCGTCTCCCAAGGTGCTGGGATTACAGGCATGAGCCACCGCCTCTGGCCCTCTGCTGTTTTTGTTACTTTTGTCCAATCCACCATCCAACCAAGATTCATACATTACATCTGGATGTCTCTCTTTAGATTCTAGATTAATACCTTGTCTTAGTGTTTTGTTCCTATAACAGAATACCTGAGTCTGGGTCATTTGTAATGAAGACACTTGTATTTTTTTATTTTATTATTCTTTTAAATTTTAAAGATGTGGGGAACAATTCAGTGTTTGGTATACAAAGTGTCACTGTATAGGTAAAGTTTGGACCTCACTTTGGTCCCCACATCATCTTGTTTGAGATCAGGGACCCTGATTGATGAAGTGTGCCCCCGCTCCCTCCCCTGGCAGTTTCCCACTATTGCCAATCCCTTTCTTTTCTTTTCTTTTTTTGTTTTTGAGTTGGAGTCTCACTCTCGCCCAGACTGGAGTGCAGTGGCCGCTCCCGGTCACTGCAGCCTCGACCCACTGGGCTCCAGCAATCCATCCACCTCAGCCTTCTGAGTAGCCGGAATTACAGGCAGGCGCTACCATACCCGGCTGATTTTTTTATTTATTGTAGAGATGAGGTCTCGCCGAGTTGCCCAGGCGGGTCTCAAACTGCGGGCTCAGGCAGTCTACTCACCTCAGCCTCCCAAAGTACTGGGATTACAGGCTGAGCCACCGAGCCCAGCGCCAATCCCTTTCTTATAGTATTATGATTGTTCAGGGTCCGCTCATGAGTGAGAACATGTGGTACCCAGTTCTTTGTTCCTATGATAGATCACTGAGTATTACAGACTCTCAATCCATCCAAGTTGCTGTGAAAGACACATGTATTTCTCATCGTTCTAGAGATTGGAAAGTCCAAGGCCATGAAAGCAAAAGTGTGCCAGCTCTTTGGCCAGACTCAGTGGCTCATGCCTATAATCCCAGCAATTTGGGAGGCCGAGGTGAGAGGATTACCTGAGCCCACAGGTTCGAGACCAGCCTGGGCAACTTGGTGAGACCTCATATCTACAATAAGTAAATAAAAAAAATTAGCCAGTCATAGTGGCGTGTGCCTGTAGTTCCATCTACTTGGATGACAGGTGGAAGGATCACCTGAGCCCAGCAGGTTGAGGCTGTGGTGGCCATGAGTGTGCCACTGCACTTCAGCCTGAGTGACAGAGTGAGACTCCAAATAAAATTTTAAAAGTCACCAGTCCTGTCATGGGGATCCCGCCCTGATGGCCTTATCTAATTCTAATTACTTCCTGAAGGCTATACCTCCAAATACTCTTAACATGAAGTTGAAGATTAAGTTTCTAACACGTGAAGTTTGGGGGACACAGGCCATAGCATTCCTCTATCTTTTGTTTCCACATGACATTGGCTTTTTAGAGAGTTCAGGAAAGTTGTTTTATAGAATGGCTTATATTCAGGATTTGTCTGGCTGTTTTCTCGTTATGTTTATAACTTTAATCCACTCATTTAATACACCCAATTAAACTGATATACTATACATTAAAATTAAGCCCAAGATTAATTAAATTCAGATTAAACATATCTATCAAGACTATTTCATATTGTAGGTTACAGGAAGTTCCACTATTAGTGATACAGTTACAAGAACTGCAGAACTCTTGGCACGTGTCAACTCTGTCCAAACCCCTGCACTAAGAGACTTGACCAAACTCTAGCATGACTTCTAGCAGCAGAACTCTGCCCCTGGAATATCTCCAACTCCCTTTAAAATGCCTGCCTGAATAAGCTCAATGCTGCCAGGAAGTTTTACTCTGTGTTCTATCCAGCACACACTTGATGATAGGCTCATGACCTTTCTTGGAGGATTTATTAAAAAGAGTGTATCTCTTGCTAGGCGGCCGGTGGCTTACGTCTATAATCCCAGCACTTTGAGAGGCTGAGATGAGAGGATTGCTTGGGCTCACAGGTTCGAGACCAGCCCTGGCAACTTGTTGAGACTTCATCTCTACAATAACTCAAAAAATAGCTGGACATGGTGGCGCATGCCTGTAGTTCCAGCTACTTGGAAGGCTGAGGCGGAAGAATTGTCTGAACCCAGCAGGTCGAGGCTGTGGTGGCCGTGAGCATGCCACTACACTCCAGTCTGGGTGATAGAATGAGACTCTGACTCAAAAAAACCCCAAACAAACAAATATGTATATCTTGCAACTCAGAAGTTTCTCTCTCAAGGACCTTGGAGTCATTCCTTTGAAACAGAATAATCAGGAAGGACAGGATCTTTTCCCCCCCAGTCTTTATAGGCATACTGTCTTAGATAACTGGCAGCTAGTAGACACAGCTGCTTTACACTGACCAGCCCTTTGTACTATTCACTTCTCCAACTCTGCTGAGTTCTCACTCTCCCTTCTTTCTCCCTTTAAAACACCCAAGTAACTTCTGTACAAATCAGAATGGAGCTTAGCTCTTTCCCCTGCAGTCAGCAGTTAATGA